TTACCTTCTATCGCCCCCATGCGGTCTTGTGTGGAACTGAGAGCACACAACACTTCCTCTGGACTCACACACATGAACGTGCTCCAAACATCACGCGTGTAAAAGTCCACAGTGTGCGCATTTGAGATACTTAACGATATGGAGAGAAAGCGCGTAGCTTCATCTATTTTTCTTTTTAAAGTGTCGATGGGTATGTCATTAAATGCCATTGTTCACGGGCACAGAAAAGTGAGAATATTTAGCGTGAGCAGCAGCTGTTTACACAGTATTTAAGACATAAATAGTCAAATCAGGATATCACTGAGCCACTGGGCGACCGAATGTGCGGCCATGTTGGGTGTACCAGTCTGCGTTTTGTTGAATGGGCGAATCGAATATGTTGCCCTCACAAAAATGGCGTTTTTTTATTAGTAATGCCTTGCGACCATCCGTACGTCATTATTGTGCGTCTTGACTCTTTACACGAGAAACATCCGTTTTGTCCACGTACTAGTGTTAGCAGCTGTTAAGCTAACGTGAGACATGGCACCTTTAAAACAAAATACAAAAAGTAAAGGTCCAATTAGAGGAAAATGCTTTAATAACAAATTCGCACATGGTGGTTTATCACACCACTCCAAAAGGAAAAGAAAATGGGTTCCGGAGAACAAAGTTTTTGATGGTAGTTTAAAAGAGGGTGAGTAAATGTGTATTCGAGGTAGAAAATTCACTCTGAATAAACTAATTTGACATAAGGGTCAATTAAAGACGTCTGAAATTAGAAAAAAATCTAGTGTAAAACGCACGTGCCTAGTTCTTAGATATGCATTCTTTGCATTAATGTTGGTTACATATGTTTTTGAAAGTGTTTATACCATTTCCTTAAAGTATAATCCAAGGCTTCTTTTGCATACATTGCAATATTGTATTTACGCTTTCAACCAGTATATACAATAAATAGTTCATAAGCGTGCATAAAAAGGACTAAACTTGGAATGTATTTTGTTTGAATCTCATCTCTCTCTCATTCTTTCTCAGGTCAGGGGTTTGCTCTCAAAAGGAAGGAGAAAATAAAACATGAATACAACAAACTTCTTCGAATAGAGAGGAAAAAAATGCAACCATCAAAAATCCAGTTAGAGGAGGAATATCCCGAGCATCTGAGACATCTATACCTGGCGGAAAGAGAACGACTAGATGAAGAAGAACAAGAAAAAAAGAAGAAAAGATCTAAAGGGAGAGCAGTAGATGAAGAGACAGAGGCAGACGATGAACTAAAAACAGTGCTGGATTCTCCTTTCACTGAGAAACACATCTCAAACACGACGACTGACAATACTACTGCCTCTGATTCAGCTAATGAACCAGCAGAGTCTGACAGGTACAGTAACAGCTAGTATGTATCAGTTTATGTATGTATGTATGTGTGTGTGTGTGTGTATATATATACACACACACACACACACACACACACACAAATATACAAAGCCACATTCCTGATTTCTGATTTGTGTCATCAGCTCCCACAAGACTCCATTCATCCAAAGAAAGCAGAAGCAGAAAATGTCATCGTATAAGAAGACAAAGCAAGAATATGAAAGGATCAAGGAGGAACGTGCACGAAAAAGTGAGGTGAGGAAATAAAACCTAGCAAATGTATCAGTATGATGGAATTGTTGTACAGTTTTCCATTCCCTAATGAATCTCCTGTCATTAAGGACCCATTATGTCATGTTAACATACATATTTTAATCATCCTTTACATTCTTTGGCAAACGATTGATGCATGTTTTATTATGCGTGTCTGTGTAGGAATTCTTGAAAGACAAAGCTCAGCGAGAGGAGGCTCTGAAGAAATACAAGGAGAAGAAAACGGCAACATATCAGTTGTTGAAAAGGAAAACCAGAAAGGGTCAGCCCAACCTTAACCTGCATATGGAGCTATTGCTGCAAAAGATTCAAGCTCAACGCAAATAATTCAGTATCATCCATAAAATTAGACTAAAGTTAAAATGGACCATTACACAATAAACTGTGCAGTTTGGGTGAGGTGTTTTTGTATTTTTTTTTTAACTCGATGTGTATACCTTTGTCTTTCCCTGTAATATTTCTTGTAAATAATATATTAAATTATACTCATCTTAAGTTAATTCAAGCTAACAGTAATGAACTGATGCTATGACAGTAAGCTTATGGAAAACATGAAGCTTAATAATATCTATTATGTGGTAAATCTATTTTTATCATTATATTTAGGTTAATAATGGTCAGTAGCCTAAAAGTACAATACTGCCTAAAAGTACTTCCTTAAACATTTATAGCATAAGTTTCGGTCCTTTTCTCTAACCGCTCTTTTAAAAGTATTTTTGTGACATGATGTTGGAATGGTATCTTTTGTTTATTAGGTGAAAAGCATTGATATCAAAATAGAAATAAAAAATACCAAATGCTAAAATACAAATATTTAAATTTGTTGATTCTGAATTTTGCAAAGTATGTAACATTTCATACAAAAATATTTAAAATAACATAAAACATAAGGCATTGATGCATTAGTAGTAATATAAGGAGCTCCCAGCAGCTCCAGTAACTGTAATATGATTTCATGAACAGAGGCGGAGAGTGTATCCATTGAGTCATATGGCCCCTCCCTCTTTATTTGACTCCTCCCCCACATCATCATAGTCTGTTTTTAAAAACAAGCAAATTCACATGTTCATCTTTATAAATGCATCACAATTTAATTTAAATAGAGTTTAAGTGAGCAACATAATGATTGAAAGTAGATTATGTAAAAAGGTGACAATAACTTACCAAACAGGTTTCTCTCATCTTCATTGCTGTTCTTCACATCATCATACTCCTCCTGATCTCCCTCTGATACACATGTGAAATAAAACCTCACATTGTAATGTGTAACACAGCTTGTGCCATAGTTCTCTTTCTCCTCATGACTGTCTGAGACTATTAGATTTACTCTTTATAAATCCATGTTGATTCATTAATGGTAGTAACGTATGTTCAATATATCATAGAAACAAATATAAGAGTGATAATAAATTGCAGTTCTGTGTGACTCACTCGTTACATCTTGAAAGTTCTGTCCAATAATGATGACATCATCATAATGATCTAATGTGTCCACTACACATACATGAAGATATAAACAGAACAAATGTCACATCATCATATAAGTACTGAGCATCAAGGTATTGTTAAATATAGTCACAAAAAAAAGTAAAACACCTTTTTTAATATCAGAGTTCTGTCCGCTCGTCATGATATCATCATAGCTCTCAGGTCTGTCTTCTACAAATTTAACATGAGACATTACACCCATACAATATATATATATATAGAGAGAGAGAGATTTCATATCAGGGGTGTCCAAACCTGTTCCTGAAGGGCCACTGTCCTGCAGAGTTTAGCTCCGACGTTAATTAAACACACCTGAACCAAAGTAATCAAGGTCTTAAGACTCACTGGGCGATTCTCAAATGGAAGGACACATCCTAGTAAGGATGCATCCTTCCTAGTCCAGTCCTTCTGAGTCTTCAAGTCTAGAGTCCTTCTCAGCATTAAATGTTAGAATGAGACGGTCTACTTAGTGTACATGGCTACGTCATAAATGTTTCTGCCCCCGCAGTCACAGCAGGAAAATACTACTAGAATTATAATTTCAAGACTTTTTTTTTACTTTCTTTTAATGCAGTACAGGTAATGACAACTGTCTGTGGTCACCCACTGGTTTATATTACACATAGTTTATCATTATGTGATTTATTTGCAACTAAACAAATGAAAACATAATGCCTTCACCTTTTTTTCCCGTATTGCATAACCTAATGAAATTGAACAAGCTCAGTGTCGATTCATTTTCAGATAATTCGTTTTTCATAAATTGGAATCTGTGCAAAGGATTGTGGACAATTGAAGGATGCGAAAGATACACTTGATGCATCCTTCAAAACAGGCTGAATGAAGGATGGGAAACGAAGACTGCCTACTAAGGATCCTTCAATTTGAAATGTTCTTCGATGGAGCTTGATGACGTGGCAGCCCAGATTTGCAGCCTTACAAGGATGCGTCTTTCGGTTTGAGAAGCAGCCACTAGCAACTTCCAGGCAAGTGTGTTGGAGCTGGTTGAAGCTAAACTCTGTATAATATTGGCCCTCCAGGAGCATTGAACACCCCTATTTTATATATTTTAAACATTTCATCCAATTACAGAATAACAGAGTGACACCTGTCTCATGATCTGGTTTCAGTCTGTCAGTAATAACATCATCATAGTATCCCGGTGTGACTTCCTTCACCATCTCATCTGCATCAAGACATGTTGTATATTTTGGGCATTTTTTGAATATTTTTGGAAACAAACTGTAAAATATGCTCTTGCAGGCCTGCCATTGTTGATATCATCATAATATGCAGTGTTGAGCACTTTTTCTAATAAGATAAAAGTTTTAGTATTATGAACAGTTGAGTCATTGGTCACATATATCCTTTAGTGGTAGCATTATATTTTATATGTGTGATTTCTCTCTAACCTGAGAGAAGCTCATCAGCATCTTCATACCCAGAATGCAGTTCATCAGAGATGAGACTCCCTGTTAAAGGAGAGGAGAACAGTCAGAAACATGTTCATCATTACAAACAGACTGAATCCTCATTTCCTCTGGATCATAAAGCATTGTGTTAGTGACAACTTATTACTTACATTTTAAAAACATTAAAGAAAGAAATACCATTTTTTTTGTTGGGCCTATAAGCAAACACACATATATCATCACATAAACCCATTCCTCACTGCCTTCCAGAAATATACACACAGGAAGAGACAAACACGCACACACACCTGTACCTACACTTAAAAACATATAAACCTTATCATATAAACATATAAACCTTATTATTACCATCTAAAATACACACAGGAAGAGACATTCTCTCTCTTTCTCTCTCTCTCTCTCACACACACACACACACACACACACACACAGACACATCTGACAAATCTGTCAAAAGACATAAAAAATCATGACTGATTTAAACACACGTATATTATTAGCTCTAAAATGATCAAATGAATATTATTCCTTTATGTTGTTATATGTTTTGTTGTGACCTGCACAGGTGAGTCTAACAAGCTTCTTCCGGGAGCAGTCAGTGTGGTTATTCAGGGAGAGAGGACAGTCCCACAGGTGAATCTCATTCCCTCTGCACTCGACTTTGTTCATCCACACAACACCTGCACCAGCACCAAAGGCGGAAATCCCATCAGTCCTCAGTGCTGCTCCACAACCCAGCTGCCTGCAGACCACCTGAGCATCGCTGATGTCCCACTGATCATCACAGACTGAGCCCCACACAGCGTTATGATACACCTCCAGCCTCCCAGAGCACCGGCCCTCCTCTCCAATCAGTCTGAGAGGAATATGATCTAAAACACACACACACACACATCAACCAGCACTGACTAGCATCAGCACAACATTTACATTTACAGAAAACCGATTATTGTAGGTAAATAACAAAAATGCAGATATGAATAATTTAAACAGTAATATACTAGGAAAATATAGTCCTACATTAACAAACATTCAACAAATTTGTTGTGACTAAACTTACTTGTGCATTGTCTCTGGTAAGGAGATGGTGAGGTAAAACATGTCAGATGACTCTGAGGAGACTCATAAGTTTCCTCCTCTGAGATTACAACATGATAAAATGAAGAAAAGTAAAGAGCACATTAGGATGAAACATATGACATCTTTCAGTGAAAACAAATTATCATTGTGAAAACTGCTAAACATTTTAGCCTCGCAAATTATTTTACTATTCCTATCAGCTCACTTTAGTTTTCAGAAATATTCATTTATTTACCACATTAGACATACAATGTATGTACAGAAACATGATTATTGAGGCCATATTAACATTTTTAAATATTATCCAACCTGAGCAGGTGATCTTAGCCACTTCATCTTCACCACAGTTATTCTGTCCCCAGGTTGAAGATGGACACTGCCATAAAGTGGAATCATGTGGTCGACATGTAACTTCATCTAGCCAGTTAGGAGCTGATTTCACTCTTGCTGTTGAAGCAGACAAAACCCCAGATCTTCCACAGTTCAGCTCTTGACAGATCAGACTCGCTGTGTCTCCATCCATCTGATTCCAGCACATATTACCCCAGGATCCATTGTAGAAAACCTCCACATTCCCTTCACAGCCCTCAGTTAACCTGATCTCTTTAAACTCTAGATGCAAAACAATGAGCATTAAAACAAATGGAATTCAGATTATCACCAAAATAACTAGTTAATTCAAAGATAATGCATGCCGAAATCACTGAAAGCATCTAAAATATTACGTCAGCCTAATAATATGCCATTAAAATGTAGAATATTTTCTGAAAAACAATAAATACATCTATGGAAAGCATTTCCACTACTGTACTGTTTACCTGAGCACACGACTCCTACATCCTCCTTGTGTTGACAGTCATGTTTTCCCCAGCCTGGAGAAGAGCAGCTCCACAGGGACGCCAGACCATCATGAAGAGCCAGAGAGGAACCTGAGTGAAAGGTATGACATTTCATTAAGATATTTCAAGGTAATTTACGTAATTTATAATGTTTTCCTTTTGCAATAAAATCCTCTCACCAGAGCAGATGACTCCAACATCTCGACTATGAGAACACTGAGCTCGACTCCATGAAGAGATGGAACATTCTGAGAGTTTTGTTTCATTCCCGTCACAATCAAACACATCAGCCCAGATTTCTCCACTTCCCTCTCCAAACCAGTCTGATCCCACAAAAGACACAGCAATCCCACAATTCAGCTGTCTACAGAGGACACTGGCAGCTCTCATATCCCAGCATGCATCACACACTGTGCCCCATTTACTGAAGTACTGACGTTCAACTCGACCAGAACAGGAAATCATTATTTACATTATTGTTTACCTGAGCACACGACTCCTACGTCCTCCTTGTGTTGACAGTCATGTTTTCCCCAGCCTGGAGAAGAGCAGCTCCACAGGGACGTCTCATTCCCCTCACACTCCACCTCATCCAGCCATATGGGTCCAGAACCAGGACCAAACCAGGCTGGTACCTGCTGGTTACTGAGGGCCACTCCACACTGCAGCTGTCTGCACACCACATGAGCATCTTTAATATCCCAGGAGTCATCACACACTGTCCCCCATGAGCCGCTGTGAAAAACCTCCAGCCTCCCTGCACAGTCTCCCCCAGAACCCACCAGCCTGATGGACCCGCGACCTGATATTCAGAGAAAGAAAAACACATTATTGATCACTAACAACTGAAGAATCTGTCCAGATGTTCTTCTCACCAAGGCAGGTGGTTGACAGCTGTTGTGTGGAGCTGCAGTTGAGAGTTTGTGGAGAGCTGCAGTTCCCCAGATGAGCTTCACTCCCAGAGCACTGGAAGCCCGTCACACACTCATGACTGTGTTCAGGACTGGATGAAGAGGAGCCGTAGAAGTTCAGCACAGAGCCACAGCCCAGCTGTCTGCAGACCACAGAGGATTCAGTGAGACTCCAGGAGTCCAGCAGAACTCTCCTCCAGACCTGCTGAACGAAAACTTCCACCTCCCCCTCACACTGTCTCTCTCCAGACAACCGCACCAGACCATCATGAAGAGCCAGAGAGGAATCTGAAATGTGTTAGAATGTAATGAAATAGTGTTTATAAAATACATAAAAAAAATTTCAGTAACATAACGCTCTCAAAGTCAAAAAAGTTTACCAGAGCAGATGACTCCAACATCTAGTTTATGAGAACATTCAGCTCGACTCCATGAAGAGATGGAACATTCTGAGAGTTTTGTTTCATTCCCGTCACAATCAAACACATCAGCCCAGATTTCATCACTTCCCTCTCCAAACCAGTCTGATCCCACAACAGACACAGCAATCCCACAATTCAGCTGTCTACAGAGGACACTGGCAGCTCTCATATCCCAGCATGCATCACACACTGTGCCCCATTTACTGAAGTACTGACGTTCAACTCGACCAGAACAGATGTCAGGACCATTGACCAGTCTGATATCAGAGTAACCTAGACAAAGAACAGAGAACAGAGTTTAGTTAAACAAGATGAAACATGCTAAAGAAATATGTTTGGGAAAAAAACTTTTGTGATTATCTTAACAAGAATTAAGAAAACTACAGCTCCATTACCAGAACAAAACAGTCCAACGCCATTCTCATGGGTACAGTTGTGTTTGAGAGAAAATGATGTTTGACACAAAGATATATAGGATTCATTTCCTCTGCACTGAATCTCTTGTTTCCACATCTGAGCGTCTCCTTTATCAAAAGCAGCTGCTCCCAGCACCTGTACAGGAGCCCCACAGTCCAGCTCTCTACACACAACCTCTGCATCCTGCTGGTCAAAGGCAGCGTCACACACTGACATCCACGTCTGATTATGAGGCACCTCTACTCTGCCAGAACAGCGAGAACCTCCAACCAGTCTGACTCCTTGAATTAAATTAGGGACAGTTTTAATGATATTTGTTTGGCTTCATGTTGTATTACTTTATAAAACTAAACAGTTTAGTAGTTAGTTTGTGACCAGCTGCATTTCGTCAATTGTCAGCAGTGCTTAAAATCAGACTAGTTCCTTGCATTTTGTGCACGAGCATGCACATAAGAGTAAATGCATTTTTCATTTAATAGATAACAGAAAACATTTGAGAACAAATGTTATTTGTTTTTTTGTTTGTTTGTTTTTTTGCAATCACTAGGAGCAATTTCTCAATACTTGGGTCACTTTTTCAAAACTCTTCACACAGTAAGCACAGCAGCAGTCTACTGTATGTGGGCTAAACTGTGTATCATTTATCATTGCTACATTATGACTACTTCTTTCAAATGACATGATTTTTTTTCAATCAGATACAAACACCACCAAAACTCTATGTACCAACAGGCCAATTTGCATATATTTACATATTCTTTTTAAAACTGGTAAATGTTCAAAAGTTCAAAACCTAACATAAAAAAACTTTAGTCTTTCAATTTCATTACCATCTATTCCAAAGGGGACAACTTCGGAATTAATTTAATTTGTACTGTAATGTAAATACTGACTATGTAACATATACTGCACTGAAAAACAGTAGAGAGTGCCATTCTTGTCTTGTAAATAAATTTTACAAAAGAAAACACAGATGCTACCTGTTGTAAGTGTTTTTAGGCCATTGTTTTATGAGTTATAAAGTGTTTGTTAGATGAAAACTTTTGCAAGTGTTATGGACGAATGGCTTGATTTGAGATATGTATGAAGTATTTTGTTTACTTAAAATGTATTTTATTTACAAAATGCTTGTTCTTTGAATGATGTACACGTTTAATTCACAAAAGGGATTGTCTGAGACAAAAAAATGCTTGTTGACCATAAAATGCTTTCTGAACACCCCATCTCACAATTCAGCATAATAGATTACTTCAATCCGCACAGGAAACCAAGCACATACAGGTAACACTGAATGTGAAGATATTATTATTATTATTATTATTTAAATTCATCCTGGAATTCTGTGTGAGAAAAGATTAGTAATTATAAAAAAAAAAAGGTCTAGGTGAACTTACCAGAGCAGATGACTCCAGCATCTTCAGCATGATTAGCTTCTATTCCCCATCCAATTAATCTACAGTTCATCAATGTAGATTCTGATCCAGTACACACTAAATCAGAAATCCAGATTGGTCCTGATCCTTCTCCAAAGTGAGCACTCTTTGGTGCACTTAAAGCCTCTCCACAGCCAAGCTCTCTACACACCACTGCAGCATCAGGCAAATCCCAGCCAACATCACACACTGTTCCCCACTGACCATCATGAAGAACCTCCACTCTACCAGCACAGCGACTGTTACCACCTACTAATCTCACTGTTTCTGAAGGTAAAAGGGCACAAGAAAGATAAAGTATAAAAAATATTTTTTATACAATATTACTCAATGCCAATACCCAAAGTTCATGTCGTTCACCTACCAGCACATACAACGCTCACATCGCTGTCATGGGAACAATTGTGTGAAAGTGATGTTGGACAGAGAGCAAACTGATACTCATCTCCTCTGCACTGAATCTCTTGTGTCCACATCTGAGCGTCTCCTTTATCAAAAGCAGCTGCTCCCAGCACCTGTACAGGAGCCCCACAGTTCAGCTCTCTACACACAACCTCTGCATCCTGCTGGTCAAAGGCAGCGTCACACACTGTGTGCCATGTGTTCCCATGAGGCACCTCTAATCTTCCAGAGCAGAGAGAACCTCCAACCAACCTAATGCCTGAAAAGATAATGATAAACCATTTAAAATATCACAATATACTGTAAATCATTAAAAAACTCAATATAAAGAAAGTCACAAATGTGATTATATTAATTTCTATATTATACTATCGGAGACCATGGAGTGTTTTGCTTTAACGTTTGTAAACCTTAAACCAATTTACAGCTCGTGTGGTCAGTGCCGGTCCTACTAAATTTGGCACACTAGGTGAAAATGAAAGTTTAGGTATATTTAATTTAGCATCAAATATGGAATGCTGCATCAAATATAGTAAACCCAGAAGGTCACATATTTGAAAATCCATGTTTGTTAATTATCATTAATAAATAAAAAATAAAATGTTATTGAATTAAATACAGTATTTAATATTTACAATAATTATATGTAGTCAGGATAGAGTGTAAGCATAGCTAATGTGTCTAACAATATTCTGTATTTTTCTCTAAACAGAATCATGAATATTTCTATTCTGGTGTCACCATTGTCCTGTGCATAAAAGGAGCAGGACCAAGTCCAGGCCTAAGTCCATTTCTGATGTAATACCAAATTTAGCATTTCAATTATTATTTTTTTTTACTTCATTACTGTACATTTTTCAAGTATCTGTACTTTATCAGAGTATTTTTATTTTATTTTGCGTGGATATATTCATACATTAATTATATTCATTAAAATGATCATTTTACCATGGTGAATAATCCAAGTTAACGGTTGCTTCACGACCAATTTGAACATTCTGTGCGATTGTCACTAGTAAGTGAAATGCGACAATTGTATCCAAATGTCGGAGATAGTGGAAAGGTGGCTTCACTTGACTGTTTCAAGGCTTTTTATCAATGTGAGCACCCGCTTAGCCGATGCTCCAGCTTGATCACCAAAAACGGAAAAAGATTCTGGCTCTTTTTCCCCAGACAAACTCGCTCTACAGAAGAACACCCTTAAAGCCCGTCACAAAATCAAACCATAACACATGAACAGAACATACATGTACTTACATCACAACTGAACAGAACATAAAACACTCTTCAGACTTATTACAATATTTTGGTATACTAAATTTTAATGTTTTGATAGTGTCTTCATAATTGTAAAAACTTTCAAGTTTAACTACATTTTGGCTTTGTTTAAAGTATCATGAAATCAGATTCAGAGATCAAACTGAATCATGTTATGAGTGTATTGTTAATGGGTTGTCCGGCCCTGGGTTGGGTGTGTTGTAACACTAAAAGAAAATTCTGTACATGAAGTTATTTTGTTCATTACATTTTTAACATCGAGGTCAGTGGTGTCCAAACCTGCTCCTGGAAGGTCAATATCCTTTAGAGTTTAGCTACAAGCAGCTCCAACACACGTGCCTGGAAGTTTCTAGTGAGTCTGAAGACCTTGATTACTTTGGTTCGGGTGTGTTTAATTAGGGCCGGGGCTGAACTCTGCAGGACGGCGGCCCTCCAGGAACAGGTTTGGACACCCACGATCTAGGTGAATGTTTTAAACATTTAGAGTAAATGTTATGAAATTAAACAAGAGTGTCTACTGATTCAGTTCATACATGTACTGTTATTAAACATGCATAAAACTGATCTCAATTCAAATCATAAACCAACAATTTTATATCAAATTTTTTATTGTCATGTGCTGTTGATTCTTTACATTTTTACACAGACTTAAAAATAAATAAAAATAAATAAAAATTATATTTTTTATTATTGAATATTGTAGTATTTATTATAAATGATTTATCCATGCACATTATTATTATTTTTTAAATTCATTTGTCCTTGTAATGTGTAATCAAAATAACTTCCCCTTCCTCTTGTAGCGACATCTCTTCTCTACTCTGATGCTGCTGGCACAAGGGCAGGACAACCTGTCACTCACATGAGATCACAGCAATAGAAAACCACTATCATCCAACCACCCAATCAATTTCCAATGGATAAAATCAAGTCGCGCCCTACATTATTTTCTTCGAGAAGCTGTTTCACTATAGGGTATATGCCAGAATAGGTAAGAAAAGATTATTGCAGCTTCTGTTTCATGCCGATTTCAATGGTTTAAACTCAGATCATCTATAGTACATGTATGTTTTTAATGTAATAAATAATGATAAGTTTGATGATGAATGCTTGATAGAAAATCAACCTACCCGAGCAGATAACACCAACATCTTCACTATGTCCACAGTTATGGTCACTCATTTTTGTTTTTGAGCAATCAAATATTGAGGACTCAGATCCACTACATATCACATCATCCATCCAGATTTTTCCTGATCCTGGTCCAAAGTGAGCAGCACGCATTGTGTTTGAAGTTTCGCCACAGCCCAGCTCTCTACACACCACTGCAGTGTTTGTCAAATCCCAATAATCACCACACACGGTTCCCCATTCTCCACTGTAATAAACCTCCACCCTACCAGCACAGGAATTACTACCATCCACCAGCCTCACATTTCCTGCAGACAAGATACAGAAAGATGTATATAAAATGTATCTGAGAGAAGACAAACAACAACAGAGAAAAGTCAGCAAAAGAGAGAGGAACAGAGAAAATGACCACGAGAGAAAGAAATTCACTTTTATATTAATGCAAATACTACACATACAAAAGGGGAACTATAAATTATATTATGACTAATTCATAACACAAACACAAACAGTCAATCACTATAACATAACTAATACATAACGATCCTGAGTGTGCACATACCAGCTGTGGCGAGTTTGATCACAGAAGACAACAAAATGAGAGTTAGACAGTTCTCCATCTTTACCGATCATACACTCTGTTTGATCAACTCAGAACTGAAAAGTTCAAGAGAGACAGAGACAGAAAGCTGCACAACCACCAAACAACAAGCCAATCACAAACACTTTTACCTTATTAGACAGAAGAGAGGAAATCATCAAAAAGCTTCACTGACTAATCAGAAGGCGTATTTATGATTTTCACCATATTTATTAAAAGTACGTCAGCATTGATGAACAGGACTCCTCCTCCATCTTATCGAGACACTTAACTGGGGAGAAACACACAAGATAGAGGGGTGACAAAGTCAAACATACAGGAAACTGATTTCAGGGACAGGAAACATTCCAGTTTATTAACAGCATCAAAGCAGTTTTTGCAGATATAGAAATACTAACGCTCATAACATATTGTTTCATGCTTCTCGCTTTGAGTTCATGATTAGAAATATTAGTTATACAATCAAATGTACTTTTTTAAAGAATTGTTTTAGCTACTGTTATTCAGAAGTATATTTAGCGATGCTTGTCAAGTTCACAGTTCACAGTGTATATATTAATAGTATATTAGTAGGGCATTTTGTTTAAAAAAGTAATAAAATAAAGATAATAAAGTATAACTATGGTCATGCACAGTTCATCATACAAGAGCCAAGATTGCAGCTGCACTTTTATATGTTTAATACTGCAATACCGATCAATTCCTGTGGGTGGCAGTAAAAAAAAGAGATGACAAATTTGACTTACAGTAAAGGTGCTTCTCCAGCAGTGTTGCCAACTTAGCAATTTTGTTGCTAAATTTAGCAACTTTTCAGACTACCCTAGCAACCTTTTCTTCCAAAAGCACCTAGCAACAAATTTAGCTATTTTTAAATTTTATTTGGCTACTTTTAGCAACTTTTGATAAGTGACTCAAACAATAAAAAGGCACACATTTTCCATATAAATTTCACAAAAAGAGGAAACCAAAGATGCCTAGAAAGTACATACATCACATGAATTAAGTTATTGCTATTTGCAATTGTTCAATTTGATAATAATAATAATAATAATTTAATAATCATTTAGCAACTTTTAGCAACAAATCGACCTTCCTTTAGCAACTTCACCTGAAAATTAGTTGGCAACACTGTTCTCCAGACTCGTTTGACTGAGACACGAGCCCCAGTTAAAATACTGTTGTCTGTGCCAGAACAGTTTTACTCATGAATCTGTAACTACAATATACTGACCAGAGAAACATTTACCCTGACAATACTTCAGGAATTAAGTCTTGTTTTCAGTCTGTTGTTTAGAATCAGAACTAGCAATTCCCGAATTAATCTTTTGAATCCGGTTCTTTATTGTTCAGTGAATCATTGAACTGAATCATTGGAGTTCACTCAGCAAAACAGTAACGAGATATTAACATCGAGATACAAAATGAGCGCTCAAAGAAGTGGATATTGTGGATATTGAAGTGGAAATTGCTGTGAAGTCACATAACAGGCAACTGCGCTTGTTTTATATTGATGATAAAACATGAGCTGCACCGGGGTTCTAATGTTCTGCTGTTAAGCATTATTAAGTCATAATATATTGAAATTATTTTAAAGTTTTATAGAGAAGAGGTATATAGAGAAGAGGTTTATAGAGAAGAAATATGACTATTAAACGTGTTACAGGTTGTTGATTTACATATATAATTCAACACTTCTACAGCTTGATAAATGATGCATGTAAATAATATTCATATTTATTTATCGATTAAAAACACATCTGATCACATACAATTATGTGATACAAATTTTTTTTTTCTCTATTATGAAAGTTACTTTAATGCATCTAAAGTAAATGCATTTTTTTTCAGCATTATCCACTCACAAAACTCCAGTACTTTCTGTGATGATGCTGAGGGCTGTGAAATCACTGATGGTCATTTATGGCTTATATTTAGGATGTCTTCGATTGTCACCGCAGCAGTTGTGCATTAAAAGGTAAGATCAGACATTTGACTTCAGGGTTTGTGTAATGCCTTATTGAAATACACACAAACATTTGTCTGAAAAGTTTTTTATTGCTACTAACAAGGCCAAAAAAAAAAAACACAACAAAATCTGACAAAGGCATAGAAGTTTTAATAAAAAACAAAGAACACTTGGTGAAACATAAAACCCCAAGATTTGACATATCAATAACAATATCACTCAAACTTTGTTCAAATTTGTTGAACCGAGGCAATGGATGATCATTGGGAAAAATCTTATTTGTTTGACTCCTCCTCCACATCATCATAATCTGTTATTAAAAATATTAAAAATCATGTCAAATGTTGTAATTGGATTAATATTTTAAAAGTATAAAAAGTTGGAAAAATGTCAAAAATATTACAATATAAATAAAGATGTTAATATAATGAGAACAACAGGGTTACAGTAACTTACCCAATAGGTTTCTCACATCTTCACTGACACTCATCACATCATCATACTCCTCCTGAACTCTCTCTGATCGAGAATGACAAAAAACAAGTCATATTATTTGAGGCATCCCTTTTCCTTTAAGTGACTTGAACAAATGTCTAATACTCATCTAAACATGCAAAGGGTGATAAACATGTAGTTCTGTGCATCTCACCTGTTACACCTTGAGAGTTCAGTCTATTAATGATGACATCATCATAATTCTCTGGTGCGTCCACTACAAATGCAAATATCAGTCAAAATTAAATATATAAGCAAAAAAAACAGTAATTTAAAATATTATCTGTAATGATCTTGATTTTAGAGTAATATTATTTTTAAAAGTTGATAAAATCGTAAAACACCTTTTTTGAGTTCCGTCCGCTCGTCATGACATCATCATAGCTCTCAGGTGTGTCTTCTACAGATTCACACATTCATCACAGACACACATTCATTACATTCAGAACAAATTAGAAATATCTATCTTAAATATACTGTAATATTTAAATTTAAATGCTGCTGTAGAATATCAGGGTGACACCTGTCTCACGATCTGGTTTCAGTCCATCAGTGATGACATCATCATAGTATCCCGGTGTGATTTCCTTCACCATCTCTTCTGCATCAACACACAATATGTTTGGATACAAAAGCCAAATATGTTCTTGTTGCAGATCATGAGACTGAGAATTTATTAAATATTTGGTGATGAATCATGTGATCAATTAAAAAGGTCACTGACCTTTTAGACCACTGCCATTGGTGACATCATCATAATATGCAGTCTTGAACTCTTTTGCTAAAAAAGGAGAGCAGACTGTTAATATACAAGTAAACAGCAGTAATTCAATAGTATTGAGTCATTATTCAAATATGTTACAGAATTTGTTAATTACATTTATTTATTTATTTCGGTGAATTCATTATAAAGGTTTTTTTTTTAGTAGAATGTGGAATGAATATGCACTTCAGTTCTCTAACCTGAGAGAAGCTCATCAGCATCTTCATACCCAGAATACAGTTCATCAGAGATGAGACTCCCTGTTAAAGAAGAGCAGAACAGTCAGAAACATGTTCATCATTACAGACTGAATATTCATTTCCTTTGGATCGTAAAGAAGACAAGACAACACAAAAATTAATTATTCACATTTTAAAAGTATTATAGAAAGAAATCCCTTTTTATCGGGCCTATTAGCAAACACACATGTACTGTATCCTCACATGAACCCATTCCTCACTGCCTTCCACAAATACACACACACACCACCTGCATGTACACTTAAAAATATATGAACACCTCCTTATGAAAATCTAAAAATACTCACAGGAAGAGACACACACTGACACACACACACGCACACACACAAACATGCACCTGCAGCTCTGTGGTTTTCTGTCAGGAATTCTGTGGTTTGAAGCAGGAGGTTTAACAGGACTAATAATAGATGAACATCAACTGTCTGACAGACTCTCTTGTTAATGTTATTAAATGAGATTGATGGCTCATGTCTCACCCCTCTGAGTGAAGTGATTGTGTCTGTGCTGAATCTCCTCATAAACGGCCTCAGTCGTCGTCCTGTGTCTCCTCTTAGAGAGAGCTGTGAGTGGCAGGAGTAGTGGACACTGACACATCTGGCAAAACAGACACAAACACATTCAAAATTATGAATACATAAAATGATCTAAAAATGAAAATTATTCCTCAATATTTTGCTGTGACCTGCACAGGTGAGTCCAGCATGCTCTTTGCGTGAGCAGTCAGTGTGTTTTTTCAGGGAGAGCGGACAGTCCCACAGGTGAATCTCATTCCCTCTGCACTCGACTCTGTTCATCCACACAACACCTTCACCAGCACCAAAGACTAAATTCCTATCAGCCCTCAGTGCAGCTCCACAACCCAGCTGCCTGCAGACCACCTGAGCATCGCTGATGTCCCACTGATCATCACAGACTGAGCCCCACACAGCGTTATGATACACCTCCAGCCTCCCAGAGCACCGGCCCTCCCCTCCAATCAGTCTGAGAGGAAGATGATCTAAAACAACGAGAACAGACCAGCTTCAGCACAACATTTACAATAAAACACACAGTGAAACTGAACAAAGATGGCTTTAAATGTATGATTACACTTCTTGTTTGAATGCACATCTTTTAATAATTTATTAGGAAAATAAGGCATACATGAACTAAAATGTAACAAATTTGTTAAAAACTTACTTGAACACTGTTTCTGGTGAGGAGATGGTGAGATTGAACATGTCAGACGACTCTGAAGAGACTCCTGATTCTCCTCCTCTGAGATTAAAACATGAAGAGAACATTAGGATACAAGACACATGCTGTAACATCTCTCAATGAAAGATATCATCAATGTGAAAACAAATCATTTCAGGCTCTTTCCATCAGCTCAGTTTACTTTTAAAGAAATATTTGTTTACTCACCACATTAGAAATAAACATTGTGTTTAAAGAAGCATGGCTTAGACCTTACATATCATTTAAATATCATCTCACTTGAGCAGGTGATTTTGGCCACTTCATTATCACAGTCATTCTGTCCCCAGGGTGGAGAT